GATGTTCTTATGTTTGGTTCTTGGCGTGTCATTCGCTTACTTAAACGCTAGAAATGTCTCAACGGAGTCAGCGCTTAGCTTGTGCACACAAGTCAGGTAAACAAAGAATACATAAAAGTGTCACAGCTAAAAAAACTTCCAGCTCAAGACACACACATACACACACCCTGGACATAAAGTCACCAAATAAACGCAAAACTTAATGAATGAGATGCTGCAAGGTACGGCGCTCAGCTTGGTCATTGTCTGCGGGACTTGGCTTTGATCGCGGTTTAATAGGCTGTGTATTGAATGAAGGGTTTGGACAAAGATAAGTTGCATCACTTGCTGGGATCATGATGTAGCAGATCTTGTGTTGCTTTTTTTCTTTGTCGGCCACGGTTACTTGTGAAGGAGTAGCCCTATACAGCCGTAATCGGGAACCGGCATCTCTTATAGTTTTCGGCCCACTGCTTTAACGTCCTCTCGGTACCTCACCGCTTTGCTTGGAAAAGCGATGCCCTCGACGATAGAGAAGCTCAAGGGAGCGGAGCTCAGTCTTCAGCTCGCGCAGTTAGAGGCTCGGGTTCGCAAAGCAAGCCCAATGTGCCCGCATTTTAACACACGCCCAAGCCTTAAAGGCGTTCCTATATCCTCTTCCTTTGTACAGGCCGAGAAGTCTGCGGCAAAGGTGAAGGCTGCTACAGACCGAGTGAATGAGCTGAAGGCACGTGTAGCGGCACGTGTAGCTAAGAAAGCAGGTAAGGCCGCCTCTGGTTCGGGCACGTCTTGTCCAGTGGCAGGCAAGCGCACGCGTTACAGTTACGACAGAACGCGCTGCGTTGCTTGTCAACAATGGGCTCGGGTTCACAAAGGTGAACTCAAACACGTTTCCGAAAAGCATAAGCCCTCATGCGAGTGGGGGCGATAGTCTAGCTTTCTGACACGCAAAGCATATGTCTCCTCAGCTGTGACCTGGCTCACGCACACAGTTTTCCACTCGCGGCCAGAGATCTATCTGTATAGCTCTCGGAAAAATATGTTCTTGTTGGGAGGTGTGCAACAGCTCTGTTGCGACTTACTGACGAATGTTCCCTAAACGGCCTGTATGTTTCTCGGATTCAGGGTTAGTTCTTAGGGTAGAGCTCAGGGTTTAGGCTTTAGGATTTGAACTAAACTCCAAACCTTCAACCCTAAACCCTAAACCGCTATGCGTGTAATCTTGCGCCTTGAGCGCTGACGCTCAAAGAGTCCACGCCTCCAGCCAGCGCCCTCACCAGGGAGGTTTTGGTGGTTAGGGTGTGTATAGGCTTTCGGAGTATTGCTAGCTTACCCTGAAGGCCCAAAACACTCTCGTCGCTACAAGATTTAACGTCGCATGTGTCTTACATCTCTCGAAGCTCTTGTCATGTTTTGTTGTTGCTACACTAGAGCTAGAGAGAGAGAGAGAGAGAGAGAGAGAGAGAGAGAGAGAGAGAGAGAGAGAGAGAGAGAGAGAGAGAGAGAGAGAGAGAGAGAGAGAGAGAGAGAGAGAGAGGGAGGAGAAGTGTAGAGAGGGGCTGCTTTTACAGTTGCTTTTACTGTTTGTCAATAAGGTTGCCCGAACGCAAGGCCCTCAACAACAGTAGTTTCACCAAGACAGGCCCGAGCACTGAAGCCGGGTGCCAGAAGGTAGCAGGGGCCAAGACGATCGCTGACCCCTCCCCTGAGCATTGATGTCGTAGCTAGGAGTCGTGATTGTGGGGGCGCGGGAGAGGGGGTACAGAGTACAGAGCCTCCAACACGGGCGCCGACAACTAGCAAGGGTTGCAGGTCTATAAGGTCTCGGGGGGGGGGGGAGGTTTCTCTCGGAAGGTAGTGAAGGGGTGCTGGGGGACTTGGGGGGAGGTGAGGGCTTGCGAGTTCGGGGATGAAGCAATAAGGTCCTGAACCCGATATTTATAAATGATCAACAAGCTCTGTGGGGGCAACCACGGTGCTGCTGAAATGGGCAGCTTGTGGCCGACATATAGCTCGTAAGACGCGGGATCGGGGCGCGCCTAGGCGCAGGGCTTGCCCCTATGCCCCAAAGACAGAAAGAAATAAAGAAAGAAAGAAAGAAAGAAAGAAAGAAAGAAAGAAAGAAAGAAAGAAAGAGAGATGATGAGACATGCAAAACTTCTGGCTTTGTAGTGTCAGCAACACGCGCATGCAGCGTTGTGCTATGTCCTGTGAGTGACATGTGCATCCAACATATTTGGGAAAGCTAAGTGGTCGAAATGAATGTAGCCACTTTAGCTAACGAGACCCCCCGTCCAAAGGGATGGATTTTCAAAGCGCCCATCCAACCCAGGCCATTGAATGTAGGCTAGACGTATTGCTGCTAGAAGTGAGGGTTGCTGCAGATCCCAGTGCTGCGACGGGAGCCACACGGGTTTGTAATCACATGGGCTTCATGTATGGGCGAAGTTACTGGCCAAGCTGTTTGTGTGCATCTACACCTCGGGACAGCTGCAGGGTGCAGTGTTTTCGCTGCCAGAGTGCTGGCGCCTATGCTCAGTGCTTGGCTTTTACTTATGTGCGATTGAGGGCTTGCTCCTATGCCTCAAAGACAGAAAGAAAGAAAGAGAGATGATGAGACATGGCTGGCTTTTTAGCATGCAGCGTTGTGCTATGTCCTGTGAGTGACATGTGCATCCAACATATGTGGGAAAGCTAAGTGGTCGAGATGAATGTAGCCGCTTTAGCTAACGAGACCCCGTCCAAAGGGATGGATTTTCAAAGTGCCCATCCAACCCAGAGAAGCTATAGGGGATCCTGCCTACTGATGGCTGGGCCATTGAATGTAGGCTAAACGTATTGCTGGTAGAAGTGAGGGCTGCTGCAGATTCCAGTGCTGCAACGGGAGCTACATGGGTTTGTAATTTGTAATCACATGGGCTTCACGTATGGGCGAAGTTACTGGCCAAGCTGTTTGTGTGCATCTACACCTCGGGACAGCTGCAGGGTGCAGTGTTTTCGCTGCCAGAGAGCTGGCGCCTATGCTCAGTGCTTGGCTTTTACTTATGTGCGATTGAGGGCTTGCTCCTATTGCCTCAAAGACAGAAAGAAATAAAGAAAGAAAGAAAATGAGACATGCAAAACTGCTGGCTTTGTAGTGTCAGCAACACGTGCATGCAGCATTGTGCTAAGAGTGGTTGCAGATTCCAGTGCTGCAACGGGAGCCACACGGGTTGGTAATCTCATGGAATGTCATGTGTGGGTGAAGTTACTGGTCAAGCTGTATGTGTGCATCTACACCTCGGGACAGCTGCAGGGTGCAGTGTTTTCGCTGCCAGAGAGCTGGCGCCTATGCTCAGTGCTTGGTTTTAACTTATGTGCGACTGAGGGCTTGCCCCTATGCCCGAAAGAAAGAAAAACAGAAAGAGAGATGATGCGACATGCAAAACTGCTGGCTTTGTAGTGTCAGCAACACGTGCATGCAGCGTTGTGCTATGTCCTGCGAGTGGTGGCAGATTCCAGTGCTGCAACGGGAACCACACGGGTTTGTAATCTCATGGGCTTCATATATGGGCGAAGTTACTAGTCAAGCTGTATGCGTGCATCTACACCTCGGGACAGCTGCAGGGTGCAGTGTTTTCGTTCGCTGCTAGAGAGCTGGCTCCTATGCTCAGTGCAAGGTTTTTACTTATGTTGGATTGATGTATTTATAGCTTGGTTTTTCATGGCCACTTGCGGTCGTCAGGCTCTACGGCAACCAGGTCTGTTGGTCGAGTGCCGTTTCTTGGCCCCTTAGATGGACGTGCAGACGCGCTGCTGCATTTTTTTCCTTCTTGCTGGGTGCTTGAGTGGTGGCCCGACACGATACACACCTGCCGCTGAGGTATTCTGGGACTGCTTTGATGGACCACGCTCTTGATGCTTTCACCTTCTGTCGTATTTGCTGGAAGGACACGTGACGACATGAGCTGTGGACTGTTCGTTCCCATCTCCCATTAGGTCCTTGTGAGAATTTGTTGCTTATGAGCATAGCTGAGTTGCCACGGTCTACTCTCTAGTTTGTAAGAGTGAGAACGCTGGGTTGAGTTTCTGTGCGCGCTGGGGCCCCTGCATTGCACTGTGTATTGAACTTCGCTTCCTGTGCATTAACTTTGTAGTTTCTCAAGGCTGCAACCTCCGCCTGGTTGAGCACGGCTAGCTGGCCAGGTCAGACCAGACAGCTGCGGACTTTGAGCATATGGTGCTAGTGTGCTAGCTCCTCACCAAACTACTCTTGGCTGGCGCTAGCCGCTAGAGGTGGTGGAAGGACATGAGAGTGGAGCTGATGACAACTAGTGTTCTCCAGGGTTCCTATCAGCTTCGGGCTGGCAAGAACTCTTGGATTTCTCAGAGCTTCTAGATTTCAGCTGTTTCTGCGCAGCCAGACTCTTGGGATCTTGGCAGGCAGGTCGGTGCTCCAGAGTTTTTCAGGTTGGTAAAATGATTGCCTGGCAGTGGTTAGCGTGCAGGCAATGCCCACTCTCGAAAACTGCGGTCAGCAGCTGGTCTTCGCAAGATTTCTGCGCAAATCATCTTTCCAAGTTGGCGCCTACCATCCCTTATTGATTAATCTGCTCCTCCTGCGTCAGCAGGAGGCGACTGCCGCAAGCAGATGGACGTCTTGGTCATCTAGACGACCCAGGACTTCCTGGAATCGCCGTGGCAGCTGCAGACAAGTCACAGTGTGACTAAACGTGTCAATGTCACGTAATGCCATCGAGCTTTGTGAAGCTCATCTGCTTGCTAACTCCAGTCGCCGTGATCTCTCGAGATTGTAGCGATTTGGGCTTGAGTTGACTACTACTTTTGTGCTGCGCTTGCTATCAGAAGCGTAGTGAGCTGCAGCATAAACATATCTGGTGTGGACAGTATACCGTCCATCCCTCTATCTCTCAGCACCTCGGCCTTGTAGATTCCATGTGATCAGAAGTGTGCTTCTCGATCCTGCCCGCTGTAGAACGAGTGCGCTCGGGTGCCAAGGTCTTAGTGTCTTGATCCCAGCCATGCTGGTTGACGCTGGAACTATGGAAGATGCAGGCCTGCCGCTCATTATACACGCTTTAATGCACAGGGCGTAGTAGAATCGCACGCAGCGCCAGTAGGTGCACATTCGCAGACATTCAGCGATGTTAGACATTCGGCGCCCTCTGAAAGGAACAACGCCCGGAAAATAGTGACGTCAAGTGCGCCAAGCAGCCCAGGCGAAACAACGAGTTTCTCAGCTTCGCCGTCCCCGTCATGCCTTCCGTGTCCCGTACCTACACAGAGCAGTGGTTTGTCTCCTCTCCGATCTTTGTCCGGCTCAACAAAGTGGGCAACGCTGATTCCACTTTCGATCAGCAATCGGAGTCTGCTTCCAAGGAAGACATCGTCTCACAAGCCATTGACATTCACGCCGGGCCACGGTGGCCGACACCGCAAGGCGACCATTGTTTCCAATGAGAACATTGACTATTCGAAAACCGGTCCATTCAAGCTGGGCAAGGGACCGAAAAAGCTTGGATATTACCCACGCAAAGAACATCTGCGACCTCACCATGGCAGACCGGTGTGCGCAAAGTCCAAGCCCTCAAGGTGTGTCGATGCGCTACAGGGGTCATCGGGCGGAAGAGTTGGGACTTTTCATCGGCAACGGAAGTCCGTGAAGTGCGAGAAAGGTGAAGGCCATACACCGACACTTTCGTCAACAAAGCCAGCCAAGCCAGAGATCCCCTTGACGTATGCTGTTGCACATCCGACCATCTTCAAGCAGGAAGAGATACCTCGTCATGCCTATCGCACATGGGGAGAGGTGCTGAGCCGTTACACCAAGGTCGCCCGCAGACATGGGCTCTTCAAGCATCGGGGATCATCGGAACATGGGCATCTACATTCCCCTGCACTCACGCCGACATTCACGCCGAAGTTTACTCGCGAAGTCGAGAAGGACATGTCCAAGTTGGCAACTGACGCAAACATTTGCGTATGTGTCAGCGATGAGATGGAGATTGCACGGCGTGAGATCACCGCCTTTGAACACCATGAATCGAAGCCCCTCCGCAGCTGCATCCACGGCTCCAAGAACGTCGCAGATCTCACGTCGAAAACTCCGCAGCCTCACAGCTGCTCGCAGGTGCAGTTGTCGGAAATCTACATGGCGATGACGGTGATGATATCTGGCATTCACGCCGGCATTGAAACCCCCATGCAGCAGGGGCTTTCAGTGGATTGCCCCAGCTTCGGTGCCTCTAGCCGTCATGAAGTTGCGCATGGTCAATTCTGCTTGTTGCAAGCGGCGATCGGCCATCGCAAGGGCCGCTTGGAGCAGCGTAGTGAACTTCTCCATACCCTTAATACTTTGCCAGGAGCACAAGGGCAGTACATAATATGAATATTCTGCCTTGATGCAAGGTTCAGACTCGGACTACTTTGCGAGAAAGGGTGGCAAGTATGAAGAGACGTGCTTGGTCGACGCATTCCGCGCACACAGGGTAAAGGTACCGTATGAAAGATCCGGACCCTTCTACGCGTTAAAGGATGGACGACGGCTACTTGCTCCTTTCTCACGAAGCATCGCGAGGTGCAGTCTGGCAGAGCTGCAAGTCCAAGGTCAGTTTGTGGTTGGATATAAAAAGCACTTTGTTGCCGTGAGGCAAACGAACGACGATGGGCTCGAGGTGAACTTCACAAATAAATCGCATCTGTGGCACCGATGTAGTCTCAGCTGCACCTTTCCGACGGCGTTTCATCGTCCGGAAAAATCAGCTGTGTACTACCTCAACCCGGAACATATAGATGTTGTGTTCCGCGTCTCATGCGCAAACGATCTTGGGGCAGATCGCACAGGCATAAAGACCGCCGTGGGTGACTACAAAGGAGGCACCGTCTCGGCTGCGGGAGGCAGCAGCGGCGGTGCGGCTTCGTCTTTACTTGTTCAGCACATCGGCCAGTACATTGCTTTCCGTAGAACTATGCATGTTCTGCAGGTCACTAGGAGGAACCTGCAAGAATTTATCACAGAACCATCTCTATGGTTCCAAGTGCCGAATCCTCTGGACGGCAGCATCGATGGTCGTACATGGCAGTACTGGATAGACAGCGTTGAGTATGAAGCAAGAAAGGTTACAAGCAGCGTCGATGTCAGCATCATGCTTCCTGCAAGACGTACTGCGTCGAATGGAGAGCCACTGGCACAGTCCATCTCAGACGTAGACCGCGCAGCAAAGCGGCTCGACGCTTGGACCGAGATCATGCTCCGTATGATTGATTACGCAGAGGTGATCGACAAGAACCTGATCTTGTCCCCGATTGATCCCAGCATATCCAAGAGAACTTGGGAGCAACATTTATTCGACATTCGTCGCAGCGTGAGGATTCTGAATGAGGCTGTTGCAACCTACGTGGAAACCGACGGACTAAACTTTCCATATAGTGCTGCGGATGATTACGTGGGTGGCGCGTCTCCAGAGCCAACTTCAATCGTGGACCGCACGGGGAGTCTCTCGTTGTACAAATTCTCACTAACTTTGATTCAGTGAAGGCAGCAGATCATCTTTTGGTGTTGGAGTTCTTCCGAAATTCTTTAAGCAAAAGTACCCTGTAATGGAACAGCGCCAACCTGTTCATCGGTTAGGTTATGTGGAGCCCTTGCCAGTCGAGACCTACGTGGAGCCCTTGCCAGTCGAGACCTACGTGGAGCCCTTGCCAGTCGAGATCTACCGCCTGATCAGGCGGTATCACAATGCCTTTAGTCAAGGTCCTGCAGCGTCTGCTGATATGACCTGCAGATGCTTGCAATATTCTTGCTTGCAAGCGATCATAATCAGCTTCTGTATTGATACCAGGTACGATGATGAAGACGTGTTTTGGATTGTTCCTGCCCAACACCCGCTAGCATGTTGCGCTACATTCACATGCTCTCCAAGATTGCGACATCCTCAGCCACTGCGTTGTGCTTTGCTCACGCGCTTCAATGACAGCCCAGAGGACGGCGAGCATGAGTTCGATTATCTGGGCGGCTCCAACCGTCGACCTCGCTTTGGACCAGCGGAGCCCCGTGAGTCACAGTCTGAACGCGCAGCGTCTTCTAGCGTACGGCTTCCGGTAGAATTGTTGCAGCGCCTGCCAAAATACTTCTTCGAGTACGGCTTTCTACGTTCTTTGGCGATCACTTCCAGATCCATGCTTCTTGCGACTCGAAGTAGAGAACACTGGACCGATCTAGACGTGAGTCTAGATCAGCCGGGTCTTGAGTTTACTGGAAGACTACGATACGCTATCGAGCTCCTGAGCCAGGCCAACAAAATCATCGTGAATCTACGTCAGCTGGCCATGCTCATCTCACCGTTGCCTGCGAGCGTTAGGCTGTGCTGGGACATCGTTCCCATGCCACCGCAGCCTCGGCTCAGCAATCTATATTATGGTTTTCGCTCAATGCGACCCTTAATGGGCTGCGCCGATTTCGACGTGTTCTTGCCAGCCAACGTTCGAGGTATCTACGTAGGCGTCAGGGAATGGCATGGACAGAGGCAGTCTTGCTGCAGAGTTGATAACCTGTTCAGACAAACGATCACCTGGTCCATAGGTATAAACGACGATCCTGTAATGCCACACCCATCAGCAAGCAGGCACGCGCCAGTTCCTGACGCAGTCAACAGATTTTCCTTAAGATGGGACCAGCGAACATTCTCCATTGCGCTGAACGGTGTAGGTGTATCCCGTGCCCGACTGCGAGATGGTCTCGCAGTTGCGTCGCCAGCGCTTTCTCAAGTGTTCTTCATGGCTTTCGGGCATGGAATGCAGGGACAGCCGCCTCCGGCCTGTAGGACAATACCGTCCTCAATTCAAGCGAATGCCAGTATTCGATGTGGACTTTGTCATCGAGAGCACTCATTGTTGCTGCCGCGGTGGAGTGTGTGCCCTATGTGCAGTACATGGATCTGTTCATCGCACATTGGACGGACGCCGTGGGCAAGTTGTCCACATTGTGTGATGCAGCTGCAGGACTACCTGGGGGGCTCATCTGCTTTCCAAGGCATCCGATGTAGCCTGTTCCAAAGTACACAGCTCATACTCTCATAGTTTGAACACGATGTTGGAGAGTTAGATGCTGAGCACACGTCTTCGTCCGAAAATTAATCTGCTATCAGGTTTCTGGCCACCCCCGCTCCCTGACATGGTCGGCAGTGTCATCGGTTCCGAGACCCCACTGGAGCCTACGTTCAGAATGACTGCGGAGCCATCGCGAGACAATACCGACGTACTGCAGCCTTGCGACACCCTTGCTCAGATCAACAGTCATGAAATGGACCACAGGATTCGTTTTGAGCCCGAAGGACACAGGTATTTCTTCGACGGCAAAAAGATTAACACGAGCGCAGCGTGTCACGAATAGTTTTTCGTTTGGTTATGTGACTCATTGTCAGTGATTTTGTAGTCTGCGTAAGAGCGTGTGAGGTCACTTCTCTGATCCATTGCTTTGCAGAGCCATTCGATGCCATGGAAGCGATTACAAAAATGAAACGGGGAAGCAAGTGGCCGAGACCGGAGTATCTTGTGTCCGATATTGGACGAGATGTCATTGAGCTCATGCTGGTGGATCACGATGAAAACACTGTTCGACAGCTCAAACACATCATCATGCAGTCCAGCCTCGATGCACGCGAGCTCTGTGCAGAACTCATTCGGTTGCGCAGCATGCTAAGTAATTGGGAAGACATTGTGCAAGAAATCGTATTGTCCGACCAGGAGATCATAGATATGTGGAAGCAGAAATCGTTGTTTGCAAGCACCGCGGGCACGTGGACCCATGCTATGCTGGAGCATATGATGAACGGCTTCCATGTATCTCCTGGTTGCATGAGTGATGAATTAGACATGGCTATTGACTTTTTATCTTCAGTCAGAGAAGAGTATCCAGCTTCAGTGGTCTTCAGAACCGAGTGGACTATCTACGCAGTCAAGGAAGATCTGGCTGGCTCAATAGACTTGGTGCTGCAGGATCCTAACGACGACAACCTCATCCTGATCGACTGGAAGCGCAGTGAGAAGTTGCCGGAAAAGTATTCCGGCTATGGGCGGTTCATGCAGGAGCCTTTGAGCAGCGTGCCTGATTGCCAAGGCGAGCACTATAGGCTTCAACTCAACTTGTACAAGTGGGTTCTGGAATCGTATTACTCCAAGAAGGTGAAAGATATGAGAGTGGTGTGCGTGCACAAGAATCCTTCCAAGGAGGCGTTCGTCGACAAGGTTCCCGATATGTCGGAAGTCGTGAGCAATCTCATGCGGCAAAGACGCGAAAGCTTGCAGCCGGCAGAGCCCACCTTTTCGCAGATTCCAGACACTACTGATCTCGCGGAAGAAATTAAAATCGCACAAGCGCTTGCGCCTACGGTTCCTTTTGAAGTTGCTCACAGTCAGCGAAGACTGTCTCAGGCGTGCAGCGATGTTAACCAGGATCTTGAACCTCCAGTCGACAACTGTGATGAGAACCGAGATGACAAGTTTCCTGATTTCTTGAAGAAAAGACGTGCAATTAAGGGCGCGGACAAGAGTGCACTGCTCTTCGAGCAAATGTTTGCTGCGAGCCACAAGTTGTTACAATGCACTCTCGATGTAACACCGGCAGACGTACGGGCCACCAGCGACTGCGTCCTGAAAATCACAAGTACGACTATTGCAGATGTGACAGAAGCGCAGCCAACATGGTCAGCAGATCTGGTCCGCCTGGTCGTGGTTGCTGCCCATTTATGTCGTTGCCGCGTACAGGATCGACCGATGTTGGCGGACTGCGCGGCCCTGCTGTGGATGATGGAAGGTGAAAGACACATTCGAGTCCACAACGGGTTCCTTTATGTCTACGACGATGACGGTACCTTCGTCCCTTTCGGCGGAGTTCCTCCCGAAACAGTGCTGCGACGTGTTTACCTATTCTGCAGCCGTTTGGAAGGTCTGCTTCTGCTGCTTCCAACCCGTACTCGAAGAGATCCTCAAGTTGTACTCGATGCCGTTGCTGCCAAACGGCAAGAGTTTGTTTCGGAGTCCGAGTTCCTGGAGCGATGCGCGTCAGCGGTTCTGCAGGGGCCTTCGAATTCTGATCAGTACGAACGCTTAGATTCCATACCAATGGGTGATGAAGGGAATGAAGGTGGCGCGCGTCAGCGAGGAGATTCGGAACCCTGGACTATAGCCTTAGCTGCGAAGGTTTGGAAGCTTTCGTGCGCTATCAGAAATGAATTGATGTACACCAAGCTGATCTCACTTTTGGTAGAATGGTGCGAAACTCCCGACAAGCGAGAAAGGTGTGTCTGCTACGAGGACTTGTGTCTGCGTTACGACTCCGACTTGCTGGTGCCCGTTACTGTTGTTCCAAAGAGCTCTGCGAACAATTGCTATATCAAGATACCGCACGCCATCAAGGATCCTGTCTTAGAGGCCAATGTTTTACGCCTGCAGAAGTTTTACTCCCAGACATTCTGGTGCAACGCGCATGTCTTCAAATGCTGCCAGGCAGCTATTGCCCTAGCCAAGAGGGGCTTGAATGTGGATCGGTGCTTCATCGGCATCTCGCCAGGAGGTGTGGGGCAGAGTCTCTACTCGCAGCACATCGCCGCTATGTTCGGCAACAACCATGCCTTTTTCGACCCAAACGTGTGGCACAATGACGAAGAGCTCAGAAAGCAAGTAGAAAGCTTTGCGAGATGCTTTATTATCACAGGTCAGGAAGCACCAGAGTCAGCCCGCAAGCTTCATCTGGATTTATACAAGAAGACGATGAGTGCGGACGGCATCATGGGGCGTAAACCATACGGTTACACCACAAGGATGTTCACCATAGTTGGATGGACGCTTGGCAAACACGGTGTTTTTTGTTAGTCAGTGCGGATGAAGAAACAGTTTATTTGGTAGTTTTCTTATGGCTGGACCACGAAGGAAGCGATTGGAACTCAACCGCATGCTCATGTTTGCCGGTGTAAGTGTTGGGAATTTTAACTCAATACTTCGCCGTGCCTTGGTTTGGAAACCAAAAGCGAGATTTCTTATGAAGGCCTATCTCGAGAAATATCCAGACCATGAATTGGCCGGTATATTCGAAGCTGATCCGTCACTCAACAACTTCTTGCCAGGGTCGCAGGCATCACTGGCCGGACATCGTGTCCAGCATGCCTTCGAACTCATGCATGACAAGGAAGCCTGTTACCGCCTCATCGAAGAGTACGTAAACGGAGGTGACGAGTACCTTACAGAAGATACCATGCGGGGGGCGTGCTTTCTGCCAGTGCGAAAGAAGGCTGATGATGTGGACGAGGGCATCGGGAACTTGATGGCAGGTGCCACTTCACAGGACGAGCACGATCAGTCTGATACGCAATGGAAGAATCTGAGTAGCACTATCTTTCGCAAAATGCTGGATGCACAGATGGAGACGCTTTCGTTCTATGAGTTCAAGCTTATGCTGTTGACCGGTGATTACCCCAATTTGCCGAAGAACAAGTTGTGGGAAGAGCTGCAGTCCAAAGGATTCATGACAAAGGCAAAT